TCTTGGCCACTGTTCCCTATTAGTAAACACCCCCTCCCACAAGCGACTGTGAGCCAACCAAGGACAATGCGGGCCCCCCACCATCCCTTGTAACAAAAACCATACAAAACACACTCTGCCTCCAAATTCGGAGCATGCGCAGCCAACCCGATGCGGCCTCCCCCCACCATCCCTGTCAAAAAACAAAGCAGAGTGTACACTTGGCGGCGGCGGTGGCGGCGGCGGCGGCTGCGGCGGGTGCGGCGGCGGCGGCGGCTGCGGCGGCTGCGGCGGCGGCGGCTGCGGCGGCTGCGGCGCGGCAGCGGCTGCGACGGCAGCGGCGGTGGCAGCGGCGGTGGCGGCGGCGGCGGGGGCGGCGGCGGCGGCGGCGGCGGCGGCGGCGGCAGCGGCGGCGGCAGCGGTGGCAGCAGCGGCTGCGGCGCAGCGGCTGCGGCGGAGGCGATTCGGCAGCGGGGGCGCGGCGGCGGCGGCCGCGGGCGGCGCGGCGGCGGCGGGTAACGGCGACGACGGCGGCGGCGCGGCGGCGGCGGCGCCGGGCGGCGGCGGGCAGCGGCGGAGGCGGCGGCGCCGGCGGCAGATTGGCCCCCAGTAGCTGCCCATCCAAAGACGACTCCTGAATATGCTGAGGCTCGGGCCAGACTCGGGTGCTACGTATGTGTTGGGAGGGCGGGTGGGAGTGAGCGAGGCGGCTTTGCGGGCGGGGAGGGCGTCTTGACCCCTCCCCCTACCCCCTCCTCTGGACCTGGACGGGGGGGACCGCGAGGCGTTGGAGCGTCCAAGATCGGCCCTTGGGAGGGCCAATGTTTGACACCCCATCACGAGGATCGTGCCCCCCGAGAGGGAGGGCTCGATCGGGTGAATCCCTCCTTTGATCGATAGCCTCGAAGATGGCCCCAAGAGGCGCTCCAGGGATCCCAAGAGAGCCCCAATAGAGCCCCAAGAGGGCTCCAAGAGGGTCCCAAGAGGGCCCCAAGAGGCACCCGAGAGGCCCCCAAGAGGCCCCCGAGCGGTCTCAGAGAGTTCAAGATGACCTCCAAGATTGCTCAGATAGCCCAAGCTGGCTCAAGATGGCTCCCAAGATGCTCCAAACGGCCCCAAAACCGCTCCAAGAGCGCCCCAAGAAGCGGTTTGCCGGCTCCTGAGAAGGGAGCTGAGTTGGGGACCCGCCCATCCTGTAATCGATGGCCTCCAAGATGATCCCAAGAAGCCTGCCAGGGTTACCAAGAGGGTTCCAAGAGGGCCCCCCAAACTCCCAGAGAGCACCAGCAGCAGCAGCAGCCGCAAGAATACCTCTAGACGGTTCCATGAGTCCTCGTCCGCGTCGTCTAGTCCTCATCCTCCTCGTCCTCGTCCTCATCCGCGTCCTCGTCCACCTCCTCCTCGTCCTCCTCCTCCTCCTCCTCCTCCTCCTGGATTTCCCCTCGCCCCCACGCGGCGCCCAGGGACGGCCCGAAGAGGCCTTCCAATGCTAACCCCTTGCACGCTTTGTTTCCCTAGATGTGTCTCTTCGTCCCTTTTCCCATCAGCTCGGAAGGGCAGGGTTTCTGAATGGGCTGGTGGGGATACGCGCAGCGTGCAGAACATAATCCTTGTATGACTTGATCCAGTTCTAGTAGGATCCTACAAGGGCTCGCTCTAACTCTAGTGGAAGCATACCAGGGCTGGACCAGCTCCAACAGAAACATGATAATACTTATGTTGATATTCGATACTGAGAAACAGAAGCATACTAGGGCTGGACCAGCTGAACCATGCGGCGACTCTGATACACTTATATTGAGATTCGAACGAGCTCGACTATAATCATAGTACGGCTCGATTCAGCTCTAATTCTTGGAGGGGGGATTGGGGTGTGGCGTAAAGGGGTGCGGTGCCAGCGCTGGAAATGCCGATATTATCAAACATATCTGCAAGTGCCTTACATGCGGATATCACCCATGCTGGCCTTGCGACGGTCGCGTCGAACAACGTCAGACCTGATTCCACGTCTCCCGAGAGGCCGCAATCGAATTTGAACAACGACGCAAATGCCAACCCGATATTGTCCGATCGCCAAGCCTGCGACCACCAACATCGAATCGCAAGCAAAACTATTCTGGAGGTTCCGAATAGCGACCAGACTGATTCTTGAACCGGAGATTTGCCAAAAACATGATTCTGGAAATTCATGAATCTTAATCCATGTTTGTTTCGCGCGCAATCCCAAATTACGGAAATTCCCAAACGACGTTCTGGACATTCCGACATCAGAAAAAGAAACTCAGGGAATTCCGAACACACAAACATGAATTCGGGAAATTCCAACATTTCCAGAATCGCGCGCTCGGCAATCGAACGTCCTGGAATCGGTATTGCGCAGCCGCTCGAATTGGACGGACCTCGCTTGGGAGAGTCCGAACCTTAAAGTCTGACGTCGGTTGATGCGGTCGTCGCGAAACCAACGCTGTTGACATCGGTATGTAAGGCACTTGCAGATATCGTCGGTAACATCGCAATTTCCAGCGCTGGCACCGCAACCCTTTACACCACACCCCTCCCCCCCCGATGATAGAATCCTACCAGGGCTGGAAGCAGCTCTAATGGAATCGTACACAAGGTCGATCCAGCCCGAATCGAATGGATCCAGCTCTGGGAGAAGCCCACTGGCTCAATTCAGATGAACCCGAATCCTACGAGAACTTGATCCAGCTCTTGTAAAATCAGGGCTGGATCCAGCTCTCAGGGAGTCCTACTGAGGCTCGAACCAACTTCAATGCAATCCTGCCAAGGTTGGATCCATCAAGGCTGGATCCAGCTCTATTTGATTTCTACTACGGCTCTATCCAGCTCCACTGAAATTTTACGAGGGCTGGGTCCAGCTCTAATAGAATCGCACTCGAGAACGAACCAACTCTCATATAGTCCTATCATCCGCTTGCAGTGCAGGGCGGAGGGGAGGGTTCGAATCCCCCCCCCCCCGTGGGCGCCCAGCACGGTAGGCGAGGGCCCGGCGCCGCGCCCCGCGCGGCCGCGTGCGCCCCCCAGGGGGCGCCGCAGCCGCAGGGGAAGGCGCAAGGTCGGCGCAGCCTCAACGCCGGGCTCCATGACGGCTGCCCGAGCAGTCCCTCGGCGGCCCGCACCGTGCGCACGGGACGCCGACGATGTAGGAGTGGGCGCATGAGCGTCAGGCGTAAGAGGGGCATGAACGATAAAGGGGGGCAGAGCCATCGTGCTACCATGACTAAGGAGGAATGAATCAGGAACGCAGGAGCGAGCCTCGACCACTCATCAACTCCCAGACCTGAATCTGAGGAACGGCCCGGAAACCAGAGCCGTTGTCCTGTCCTTGCTGTAGCGTTTTGACTGGTCATGCAGCACAAGGAACAGGGTATGGATCACCAGTGAGGAAATTGGCGGCGGATAGATGATGAGTGCGGCAGGTGAGTGTCGTGACGACTTCAGCGCTTGCTTCAGACAGCACGGATCCTTCAACCTCGAGCGAGTGCGGCTTTCCGATAGCCAAGGGCGCCTGACTTCGCGCCTCGCGCCGCGCGAATCACTTCGCGCTCTCGCGCCGCCCCCCAGGGGAGAAGAAGAGGATGGGGAGGAATCGGAGCCGAACCGCGAAGCGGGAACCCAGGAAGAGCCGAACCGTCGTCGTCGTCGTTTTCGTCGTTGTCGTCATCGTCGTCGCGAAGCGTGAACGACGTCGCGCCCTCGAGGGTGTCATTGCAGATCGCACGGATCCTTCAGCCTTGAGCGGTCGCGGCTTCCCCCGACACCTGCCATCGCTCGAACGTCCACTCCTTGTGCACGTTTCGGTGCCGTGCGTGATTTGCTTGCCAGATGATTCACGATGCTCCCCGGTGGTCCTTGCCGAGACAGAGTGTGAGACGAAGCCAAGAGGATAATGTATTCGGGGGGGATGAGTCGAGAATCTCCGAGATGCGGCGGTTCGGCAGGGTGCATCGGGCGCCACGGCCTTTTCGGAGCGTTCTGGAACGCTCTGGAACGCATTAATCCCCCGCCCAACCCTTCACACGTCCGAGCCATGGCAGGGATGGCGCAGATGGCTCGGGAGCGGCCACTGCTGGGCCACCAGCGGCAGTCGGCGTGGAACGCCCTGGGCTGGGGTCGCCGCCGCGCCGACGCGGCACGAGCCTGCCGCAGCTTCACGCTGGGGGCGGAGGACGAGGAGGTTAGGGCGGGGGGTGTTATGATCCAAAGCAGGGCTCGAGCTGAACCGCGTTTCTCATGCTCGTTTTGACTTCGTTGTCACTCGTTCTGTCTTCGTTCTGCCCTTACTGCGAAACGGAATCAAAACGACAACGGTCCACGAAATCGCCAAAACACCGTTTAGCTCGAGCCCTGATCCAGAGAGACTAGAAGCAAGCGGCGACTGTAGGGGCACTGTGGAGGAGGACGGAGGGTAGGGTGGAGCAAGAAAACACTCCGTCAACATAAATCAACTGTCGGCGCTCCATGCGAACTTCTTGGATCGGCGCTGGGACCCCCTGGCGGCGTCTCTGGCGCCGCCCCTGGCGGGCTCCGCGCGCCTGGGAGGAGGCTCCAGCGCCGATCCAAGAACTCCGCGCCGAGCTCTAAAAGTATATGTGTGTGCAAACCTTCCTCCTTCGAAAGGGAGGGGTTTGGGAAGGCTCAAGCGTTCCCCCAGGACGACATACCCCCAGTGAGGTGTCGCAGCGGCCACGGCTCTAGCCACAGCGGGCGCCAACACGCAGCCGCTGGGCGTCCCGAGGTGGACCCCAAGGCACCCTCTCAAGGGTACGTCTGTTCTGGGGCACGTTTCGATCACAGGATCGACGACAGAACGCACTCACTTCGAATTGGCAGTCGCGCCGAATATGCAAGGAACGCGTCGGATGTCCGTAGGTATACGGCACACTCTACGCATTGTTTTGCAGATACGGCTGGAAAAAGAAATTCGGGAGCAAATCAATTCTGCAGTCGATCCTCTACTCGAACGTTCGGCTTCCCCTGAGGAGTGTGGACGGCCGAGCTCCTGCTTCCTCCTGGACTCCTCGAAGATCATCTTCTGCCTCATCATCGACTGCACTGCCTCGCAGGGCGGACGGCCGACATCACGCCGCCCTCCGCCTCTACATCGCCCCCTCGCCCTCCGTTTGGAGCGGAGGCGTTAAGGCACGAAGAAACAACGCCACACAAACGCACACACGCAGACAAGGACCGTCAACAACGATAGTTGAAACGAAAAGGCGTTTAGAACGAACATCGAAGCGAGGCCCAACGTTGAAAACGAAGGTTTTAAACGACGCTGGTGCCAGGCGAACGCGAACAACGAACAGGGCCGAATAAAACAGCAACGAACAACGAAACGAAGCAGCAACGAACAACGAAAAGTATGACAACACAAGGGCTCAAACCAAGCTGAAAAGCGTTGCGGTCGGTCCATGCACACACACATACACACACGCACAGACACACGTTTTGGCGTCGCGGCCTCCCGCGCAACGTCGAGGCGTAGAACATCGGAGAGCAGAGAACGCAACAACGGCCGGCCCATTCAAGAATCGGGGGCAAGCATCAACCGCCAGGGATCCACCGTGCCATGCGCACACCCAGGCATGGGCACACATACACACATACTCGCAACGCAGAAATGAAGACTGGCGCGAAGGACCCAGACCAAGGCTGCACCGGACAGCTGTTCTACTGTTCTGTTCGGTTGTGCTGCTGAACATGTTTAGCTTTGTTTGGGTCGTCTTGTTCCCTAACTAGGCTCTGCCTAGAAAGGTTCTTACTTTCTGGCTTAAAGGGGCCGGGCAGTGGAAAGCGCCCCGGGCGGTTCCCCCGGTCCCCTGGGAGCGGTTCCCCCAGTTGCGCTCCCTGGGTGCCAAGCAAAAGCAAAAGCAAAGGCAAAAGTGAAGGCAAAAGCGAAGGCAAAGCAAAAGCATAGCACAGCATAGCATAGCATAGCGCAGCATAACATAGCGCAGCATAGCATAGCATAACATAGCAAAGCATAGCCTAGCCTAGCCCAGCATAGCATTGCGCACCATAGCATATCATAGCATATCATAGCATAGCGCAACACAGCATCCACTATTGCTGCTGCTATATACAAGCTTTCCTAGAGGCTCCAACTCCTAGGTAGGGTCGCACTGGGATAATTTTCGTCATGGTGTGTCGAACATGTCCGAACAACGTGTAAGCCAGAACAGAACACTCGAACAAAACAACAACACAACAACGAACCATCGCCAATGAACAACACAAAACGCAACACAACGCAACGCCAGCCTGACGCCAACAAAACGCGCAACAAAATCCGAGGGCGCCGAAGCGAAAGGGGGCCCAGAAAGACGAGGGCGGCCTACGTGGCAACTACGGTAGGACACCGGGTTGCTTAGCCCCTGGGGAGAGCTCAGGTCGTCCCAGGAGTGGTCCTATCCAAGGGCCTTAGTCTGTGGCCCCTGGTGGCCCTTAGCGTCTCCTGGCAATTTAAAGCAACGCCGCGTTTTGAGCCAAAGGGGAATGAGGAGGAGAAGGAGGAGGACTTCTCGGTCGAGGCGAGGGGTCTTGGCTCGGGTCAAAACCCGAGTGCCAAACCCATTGGGGGCTGCGTTTGGACCAGAATCACATAGGGAATCCAGCAGTGGCGACGAGGTACTGGAAAACAACGCAAAACGCTCCCACACTTCGACCGTCGGATCGGATCGGGACGTGCGTCGGATCAGCCTGCATCGGCACGGAATCGAATCGAATCGAATCGACCGTGCCAAGATGCACAACAACGCCATGCAAGTATCGGACCGCGTCGGAACGTCAGAATATCGGAATCGAGTCGGATCAAGCGGGCCCAAAACGCTCCCCCAAAGAACCACCCTTCGGGTCATAAGGAGGGAGGAGAGGATGGGTGCAGGCGTCGGTGTGCGATTCGCGTGGGATGGGATTCGTGGCGACGATTTCTATATCTACCTATCGATCTGCCTTCATCGATCTGCCTATCTATGAGAGACCACATTTCCAATCGCATGCCTTGAACAAACCCCGAAGGGCCACTAAACCGAGAGACCCCCTATCCTCCCCCCAAAAGCAAATCGCCGATTCCTTAGGATCCAGCCGATTTTGAAGGGGGGGCTTGGGCAAAAGGTCCAGGCCTCATCCCAACAGGCAAACCTTTCGTCATTCTCGGAAAAAAACTTACATGTTCAGCATCTTCGCAGTCTTCGTCTTCACAACGCCCACGACGGCCGAAGAGACCTTCAAGATCGCCCCAAGACGCCCCAAGCGGCCCCATCGAGAGGCCGAAACAGCTTCAGACAGCCCAAGACTGGCACGCCCTTTTTACGGCCCCGGAGGACCCCCAGAGGGACTTCAGAGGGGCCCGCGACAGCCCAGGATGGCCCCATCCCAGGAGACCCAGAAGACAGCCCCAGAGGCTCCCAGACGGCTCCCCGGAGGCTTCAAAACTGCTCTCAAGAAAGGGGTGGCGGACAAAGGCGATAAGCCCTTCGCAAACACAGACTCGAAATTACATTTCGAGCTCTCCGCCCCCAGAAGACCCCTAGACCGCCAGCGGGCCTACGAAAACCCATGAGAGGCCATCAAGAGAACCTAAAAAAATCCTGAGAGGCTCCTGACTGGCCCCCAACGAGCCCCGGACCGCTCCCAAAGAGGCCCCGAAAGAACTCCCAAGAGGCTTGAAAAAGAAACCCACGGATAGCGAAAAGAGAACCCACTGGATGACTGTGGCTCTGGAAATCAAGAAGCCCCTTCCGAAGCGGGTGGAGCCCCCTCCACCCCACCCGCAGGAAGAGGGGAAGGGGAATTCCGGACTCCTCCCCTGGCGCAAGGAGGTGGAAAAGTGTGGGGCCACAACATTTCACCAAATCCACCGATTGTGCGATGGCTGGGTATCACTAAGCTACACCGGCTCGGTACGAAGGGCCTGAATCTAAGCGACCAGCTCCAGAAAGCATGGGCACTCAACCTTTGACCTCTCTTCGGGAAGTGAACTTTGGACCCCTCCTCCTCGTCCTCCTCCTCCTCCTCCTCTTCCACCTAGCGACACTACACCCAAGCAGTCGAGTATTCAA